GGTCACAACTGCCTCTCTCACCCAAACTCCCTCTCTTACCCCAAGCTCCCTATGGCACCTAACCTCCATCCCATACTCTGCACCTCCTCCGTTAATATCATGGAAGAGTGCTGCTCTCAACCACTTTCCATATTCTTGGAGTGACCCCCTCATCAACAATCATTGCCCACCCCTGTGCAATAAGTGCCCATGACAAGGTTGAGGTCTACAGTGGAGATGAGTGAGAGTGTCCTCAATGACTGTGTTTAGTCTTGATGAGGGGTGGATTTCTTGTTCATGGGCTCTTGCTCATCTTCACTTTACCGGTCTCCTCATAGGAGACTGCAGGTTTATAATCTATTCTCCCTGCAGTTTCACATGGATGTGAAGTTGCCATGGGAGTTAACAAACAGAGATCAGTTGTGATTACATCAATACATTGGCATTGTGCCATTTTGCATCATTTTAAATTAATCCTTTATTGGCTTTTTTAATTTGCTATCTAAATGACATTATTTGGGTAAGTGACATCTGGGTTTAATTTTTACCCACACAATAGTGTGGATTAAGGGAAATGTTTTGAGAGTTTTTAGCACTTGTACATGCTGGTATGGTTGGTGAAGTGAGGTCTGAAATATAGGGTTGGTCCTGACTGTTTTGGTTGCTGCTTGTGCTGACCTTTGAGGTAGTCTCCTGTGGATTTGAGCTACTTCTCTCTTTTGTTTGCTTTCCAGATGTTGTATTTTGGTTTGTACTGCATGGTGCTTTGATGCCTTTGGATAAACATGCTGTAAATTAATTAATTAAATAGTTTAACTATATTTTATTAATCTGAATATCATTTAAATATTACACTATAAAATATATAGATAACTTTTAGACATGTTGACGTATTCTACCTATGTGAAATATGTTATGAATATATTGCAGCTGAATTACAGAACTAAGTCACTGGTGTTTAGTAAGAACAATCTCTTAAGTCTTTAAAAGTATGTCCTCTATTTCAGTGTCATCTTTAAAAAGCACAAATCTGAGAGTAGAGTGCAATATTAATATTACAGAACCTAAGAACATAAGAATGCCATACTGGGTCAGACCAAAGGTCCATTCAGCCCAGTACCCTGTCTGCCGACAGTGGCCAAAACCAGGTGTCTCAGAGGGAGTGAATCGAACAGGTAATGATCAAGCGATCTCTCTCCAGCCATCCATCTCTACCCTCTGACAAACAAAGGCTAGGGACACCATTCCTTACCCATACTAGCTAATAGCTATTAAGGGACTTAACCTCCATAAATTTATCTAGTTCTCTTTTAAACCCTGTAATAGTCCTAGCCTTCACAACCTCAGGCAAGGAGTTCCACAGATTGACTATGTACTGTGTGAAGAAGAATTTCATTTTATTTGTTTTAAACCTGCTGCCCATTAGTTTCATTTGGTAGCCCCTAGTTCTTATATTATGGGAACATGTAAATAATTTTTCCTTATTCACTTTCTCCACACCACTCATGATTTTATATACTGTACCATTAACATATCTCCCCTTAGTCACCTCTATCCCAAGCTGAAAAGTCCCAATCTCTTTAATCTCTCCTCTTATGGGACCCATTCCAAACCCCTAATCATTTTAGTCGCCCTTCTCTGAACCTTTGCTAACGCCAGTATATATTTTTGAGATGAGGAGACCACATCTGTATGCAGTTTCAGGATGTGGGTGTACCACGGATTTATATAAGAGCAATAAGATATCCTCCGTCTTATTCTCTATCCCTTTTTTAATGATTCCTAGCATCCTGTTTGCTTTTTTGACTGCCGCTGCACACTGTGTGGATGTCTTCAGAGACTATCCACAAATGACTCCAAGATCTCTTTCCTGATTAGTTGTAGCTAAATTAGCCCCCATCATATTATATGTATAGTTGGGGTTATTTTTTGCAATGTCCATTACTTGACATTTATCCACATTAAATTTCATTTGCCATTTTGTTGTCCAGTTACTCAGTTTGGTGAGATCTTTTTGAAGTTCTTCAGTCTGCTTTGGTCTTAACTACCTTGAGCAGTTTATTATCGTCTGCAAACTTTGCCACCTCACTGTTTACCCCTTTCTCCAGATCATTTATTTTGATAGCCTCTCTAATCTCCCTTAGCATTTCATAGTCTCTATTACTGTCCTGGTCAGGTGGTCGATAATAGATCTCTACTGTTATATTCTTATTAGAGCAGGGAATTACTATCCATAGCGATTCCATGGAACAGGTTGATTCATTTAAGACTTTTACTTCATTTGATTCTAAATTTTCTTTCACATATAGTGCCACTCTCCCACCCACATGACCTGTTCTGCCCTTCCGATATATTTTGTACCCCAGAATGATTGTGTCCCGTTGATTGTCCTCACTCCACCAGCTTTCTGTGATGCTTATTATATCAGTATCCTCCTTTAACACGAGGCACTCTAGTTCACCCATCTTATTTTTTCGACTTCTAGCATTTGTGTACAAGCACTTTAAAAACTTGTCACTGTTTATTTGTCTGCCTTTTTCTGATGTGTCAGATTCTTTTTTGTGTGAATGTTTTTCATCTGGTCTGGCCCATACTTTATCCTCTTCCATCCTCTCCTCCTGACTAAAACTTAGAGAATCTCCATCAATAGACTTTCCTCTAAGAGACGTCTCTGTCCTATCCACATGCTCCTCTGCACCAATCGGCTTTCTTCCATCTCTTAGTTTAAAAACTGCTCTGTGACCTTTTTAATGTTTAGTGCCAGCAGTCTGGATCCATTTTGGTTTAGGTGGAGCCCATTCTTCCTGTATAGGCTCCCCATATCCCAAAAGTTTCCCCTGTTCCTTATAAAGCTAAACCCCTCCTCCCTACACCATTGTCTCATCTGCGCATTGAGAGACTGAAGCTCTGCCTGCCTACCTGGCCCTGCACGTGGAACTGGAAGCATTTCTGAGATTGCCACCATAGAGATCCTGGATTTTAGTCTCTTTCCTAACAGCCTAAATTTGGCCTCCAGGACGTCTCTGCTACCATTCCCTATGTTATTAGTACCTACATGTACCCTGACTACCAGCTCCTCAGCACTACACATAAGTCTATCTATATGCCTCGAGACATCACAACCTTCGCACTAGGCAGGCAAGTCACCATATGGTTCTCCTGGTCATCGCAAACCCAGCTATCTACATTTTTAATTATCGAATCTCCTTTTACTAACACCTGCCTTTTTCTAATGACTGGAGGCCCCTCCTCCAGAGAGGTAACCTCAGTGCGAGAGGATACCCCAACATCCGGAGGAGGGTCCCAACTATGGAAAGGTTTCCCTCTGCTATCATTGACTGCTCTCCTTCCCTGAGCAGCTCTCCTTCTCCTCCTTAACAGTGAGGCAGGGCTGTCTTACCGGAGGTGGGACAATTCTACTGTGTCCTGGAAAGCCTCATCTACGTACCTCTGCCTCCCTCAGCTCCTCCAGTTCAGCCACCCTGGCCTCCAAAGCTCGTACGCAGTCTCTGAGGGCCAGGAGCTCCTTGCACCAAATGCACACATACACCACCCATCTATAGAGCAGGTAATCATACATGCTACACTGAGTGCAATAAACAGCCCCACTCTGCTGCTGGGCTTCTGCCTGCATTCTCTCTTACAGCTACCTAGGTTATTGATAGGATTTCTAGTTAAATCAGGAAGTTTTGAATAAAACCTTTAAACTATACTATAAAGAATGGCAAATGTACCTTTGTCCCTTCCCAACTCCCCCTCAAAACTCCCTGGTTGCTGCCCCTGTTCGCAAAGATCCCTGGTCGCTGACTTACTGCTTTATAAAGCCCTGGCCTTCCTGATAGCCCGGCCCCCTGACCAAGGCTCAGCCAATTAAATAGAGGCTTCTACATTTCAAACCTTTAGAAGCTCACAGCTTCCAACTGCCAGCCACAGCACACGCTCCTTCAAACAGACAAATATAAGCTCAGCACACAGCAAGTAACTCCCAAACACACGAACAGACAGCCCCTTACCTCAAGGGTCCCGTATTTATTTGCTCCCCCTTTACCTGGAGAACTCCCTCTCAAAACTCCCTATTTGTTGCCCCTGTTCGCAAATTAGAAGATTATAGAAGATAAGTATTTAGTTGTCCATTCTGACTTATTCCAAACTTTCAATTCTTGTAAATTTCTTAATTGGCAAAAGTTCGTGTTCATATAATTTTAAAACCTTTGAGTCTCTTGTCTTTTTCTGTATAAAACAACCTAGCAGATATGCACTGCTTCTAAACTTATAATTTTTTGTATTACATTATTAACCTCCTGTAGTTGATCCATTTATGAAACACAAAGCCCTCCCATTTGTAGAAATTTATTCTTGTATAATTTTTCCCTGGATTTGTGAGAACACCATCGTGTTCGTGTTCTGAAGGTTAATGCCCAAAGTCAAGCAGACAGAAGCCAAGTGCTGCAAGGTTTCCAAGATTAGGACTGATTCCCTTCACAGAAATAAATGATTCCTGCCATGTTCAGTGATTTTGTGCAGCACTACTCACGGCTGAGTGAGTGCATCAATACTGTAGTCCTTACATGCTGTACATACTGATGACACTCTGTGTTAACTTGATTGACTGAGCAGTATACTGGAGAGGATGCACCTGCAAGAGATGTGCAGACACACACATTTTTATTCTGGTTTCAAAACATTTATTTTACATTTATTTTACTTGGATGTCTTAGTTTCAAATTCCATGGGTTATCATGTTGAGCTGCTAAGGTAGAGCAAACAGTTATGTGCTTCTTTGTTGTCAAAACTGTATTAGAAAATGTCTGAGGTGCACCTTCTTTATCTTTAACACCAAAAGCCTGATTTTCTGCTTTAAAAAAATGACATAAAGGGAGCAAATGTGAAATCTGAAAATCAGTAACCATGTAAAATACAGGTATCTTAAGAGGTTCAGTTTAATGACAGGCAAATGTCTCATGTAATCCGCTTAAAAGCAGTATTTTTGTTACATTTTTATGTTTTGTTATTTTTTATAGGCTTTAAGACAACAGCAGAAAAGAAGAAATGGAGTCTCAATGATGGTAAACAAGACTGTTCCTCGTGTTGTTTTGACACCATTAAAGGTGTCTGATGAGCAGTCGGATTCACCTTCAGGTAAATAGCTAAAGGACTGTGAAATATCAGCTCTAGTCACAAAGCCTCCCTCTGAATGAATCTAGCATACAGAATTTAGAATTGCTATAAATAATGATACTTTCACAGAGTAGTTTTATTTAACTTCTTTATTTCCTTACCATATCTAGCTAGTTAAAAATGAAGGGTTTTTTTCCTTTGTTTTAATAAAGAACTAAAAGTACATAATAAAACGACAGTTGATAGCAGCAGCTTTAAGGGAAAGCAAAGTAACATTTCTGTTCGGCGGTGGAACTCTAATGGAAGACCACATGCTGGCATTCAACACCGTCAAAAACAGCTCCTTTGTGAGTGTGAATTTGTATCTGAGCTCTCCATTGCAATACCAGAGATCCTTGCATTAGCTTTTTTGTTCTGGGGGCATTCTTATCACCACAGTGCAACCCTGACCTTTAGTTCTGGTTGTTAGCTGCTTCATTTTAAAAGGATCCTACAGAGATGTACCTCCACGTTTATAATAGATTGATTGTATTTTCTAGATATTCCTCTTTTCTAAAAGTTACTTTCTAAAGAAATGATTTTTTTCTCCTTTGATTGCTTTATTGCTCCATAGCATGGAGCTTAATTATTTTTAAATATATTTCTTGAGCACCATAACAGCACAATTGATATTGGATTAGTGAACATCTTGATTGACTGCAAAGTTCAGCAAACTTTAGTTTTCTCCACTTACTTGATTTATTGATCTTTTTCTTCCATTTCTTCCAGCGCTCAGGAATCAAAGTATGACTAAAAATGTATATTATCTTTTAGTAGGTATCACACAAAATAGATTTTGCTCTTGATTTTAAAAAAAGCAACTTCTATTTTTGTTTTGAAGGTGGAAGAAAGTGCATCCCTGTAATATTTTTCTGGATATTTTTTTTTAAGGATCTGAATCTAAAAATGGTGAAGCAGACAGTTCTGATAAAGAAATGAAACATGGGCAAAAATCTCCAACTGGAAAACAAACAAGTCAGCATTTAAAGAGATTAAAAAAGTCTGGTTTAGGTGAGTAGCTCTTGGAATGTCTAAAGTATCTTATTTGTTTCTGTAATACTGAAGTTTTTATAAACCATGTAATTTCCCTTTAGAGAGTTGCCATTGTCATATGCCAATGCTATTATCAATTCAAGAGCAGCACACCTCTTTTAATGGCTACCTCATCCCTGTGAACTTGCCTTCATATAGGAATCTTTTTCCTAGCATGCCTTTCTGCAACTGGCCTTTTAAATTTGACTGAGCCAAGTAACTGCAGCCCAAAGAGGCCATTTTGTAACTATTGCTTGCTGCATTACCCTCTTTACTAGCTGGAAAGTAACCTCCAGTTATGTTTTCCCCCAGTCTTCTCTTTCTTATTCCAGAAGAGAATGGCACATTTGTGAGGAGAAAACATGTTCAATTGTTTTTTCATACTCCATCCTATAATGATGCATGTTTCCCCTTTAGTTATGTTGATTTTAAGACTCATGTATTATTTTGAAGCTATATGGCTAGAGTTCTAAATGCCATATAATAATTCAGTAAGCTTTCAAAACCCAGACATTCCTATTCTGTTGTGGAATGTTTCTGTTCTTTAGAGAATAGTTTTCTGTTCACAAACAGAATAAGGTGTTTGATTTCTTCAAATTCTTCACTCAGCTAGCTCTGCTCCTATCCCCAGTTTAGAAGCATCTGTTTGCAAAATGAATGTTTTTTCAAAGACTGGGTTGTGTAAAAAGGGGTAATCACATTTATCTCCCACAAAGGGCAGCTCACATTTAGCAGTCTGAGTCCTTTTGACATGTATTTGGTGAGATCTGTTAGTGGTGCAGCCATCTCAGAAGTTGGGAATAAACTTTCTGTAGTAGCTAACTAACCTTATGAAGGATTTACATTTTCTTTTTTGATAAGAATCTTGGTCACTTTTAGTGTCCTGACTTTGTCTTGGTTTATTTTTGAGTCCATTTTCTGACCCCTCCCCCCATATATTTTATTTCTCTGTTTGTTAAACAACATGTCTTCATACAGATTGCTATAAGTAATTCTTAGACTGCTGTTCATGGGTGTACCAGATAGTTCACCCAAGTCTTCTTAAATAAGAGCCCATCATTAAGTTCTGTGACTCGGTTTCATACGTTGTCTTTCAGCAGACTATCCATCAATCTTTAAAAAGTGGCAAGTGGGCCACATCAACCACATGGCGTTGTTGAATTAAAAAAAAAATCCTGAGGGTGTTGGCAGTTCTGTTTTACAATGGGATGTTGTGTTTTAGAGGGATCTTCCAGTAAGCTTTGTCTAAATGTAGTGTTGAGAGAGATTTTACTATTTCCCTTTTCTCCAGTATTTTGTCAACTCCTGGCATCAGATAACTATCAGATGTAGAGATAACATTAATTTTTCTGAAATCTATACAGAACCTATTTCCCCTGTCTTTTGGGAATGCAGTAACACTGGGGAGTACCATGGGCTTCTGGAGGTTTCAGGAACCTTTAATTTGAGCATGTTTTTTTTTCTTCCTCTGCCAAAGGTTTCATCCATTCAGATATACGCTTGAATCTTTGTCTTATGGGTTTATGGCCCTCGATATCTATTGTGTGAGAGTAAGTATCATAGTGTGTTCTGGGTTACTAGTAAAATAATTGCTATATACCTTTAAGAGCAGGTCTAAATCCCAGTGCTGTGTCTGGTTTAATTCCAGACATTGCTTAACTATCTGAATTCCCAGAGACTCTCCCAGTCTCCCATATTTCTTTTGGTGCCCTCACTGATTTATTTGTTATATGCCCTGCAAGAAAACAGTTCTGACCACTTCAGGGTTCATTCTTTCCTTTTGAATAAATTCACAGACTATAATATTTGTCCTTCTTTACCAGCTCCAGTAATTGCATGATATACAGGATTTAGAACTCCCATGACTACATGATGCTTGCCATTTTGCTGCTAATTTAATCCTAGAGCAGAGGCAAAACTTTTTCATGTGGCATAGATTTAATTCCCATGCCCAGTTGTTATAGTATATCTTTTGGTTTATTGGGTCCTGTGTTAGTTTACTGAGCTGGAAAGGGGTAATCTTTGTTAATACGAGTTAGTTTCTCTCATCTTCGAGGTATGTATACTCTAAAACTGCAGAGCTTTATTTTTTTTATCTGACCTGAAATTCCAGTTGTCTGAAAGCCCTGGGTCCCCTAGGTTGATGGTCATAAAATAATTCAAAGGATACCTGAGGTATCTGAGGTACTTTTTTATAAGCAAAGAAGAAATGTATCATCTCCTCTCAATATTGGGCTCCTCCTGAACACATTTTTAAGCATATTTTTCAACATTTCTTTAAATCATTCTACTTTATTCTCGGACGATATGTTGTGTTGTTAAAACAGTTACTCCTACCAGTCTCTGCAGGAATATTGAATTGAAGTTGATAGTAGAGTGAAGGAGCCAACACAATATGCGTATACCCCAGATCTGCGAAGAGGAAACTTGATTTTTCCTGTAGCTTCTTGGACTATTTGCAATTTCAAGGCATCACCCTCTGTCCATCTCGGAACCTTTCATTCTAGATGAGATATTTTGGTAGCAACCCTGCAGTATTAAACTCATTTTTAGTTTTTGGAACACCTTTTCCCTTCCATGAATTTTTTCCATAGGAGGGGAAGATACTAGCAGGGAAGAACAATTTTTCTTCAGTTTGCACCTAAAACATGAAGACAGATGCATCCTATGTTGTTAAAAGAAAGGAATGTAAACATGCATTTAAATCATATGCATCATGCTTAATTTGTATTACACTTTGGGAATTACGGTTTTTCTGCATGTATAGTTAGTGGGTGGAACAGATGGTGAAGAGAATTTAATGTGATGCACTCATTAAAATGTGCACTTTTTCCATACAATTGTCCTACATAATCGGGGATTCACTGATTTTAATGGAGTTTTTCCTGGATTGAAATGCAGTATGTTGGAAGTATGTTTAGTGTGAGGTTACACTATGCTGAAAAAAACCTAACCCTATCTCACTCAGTATTGTTTGTTGAAAAGTAACAAGGAATTGCAGGAAAATTTATGTAAGGCTGAGAGTTTCTCTATACTTTCAAAGGGGAAAATTATAGAATTTGCAACTTGGCTGCAAACTTTTCATTGGATAATATAGCTTCTCAGCAGAGGTGAAACAATAAGGCTCTTAAAAATTCAGAAAGCATCAAAGTGTACTATTGTTATTAATATTACTCTTCATACTGAATGACATTCAGTAAGTCTCTTAAGGTCTCTTTGCCCGTTTCCCTATCTTTAAAATAGGGATATTTATCCTCCTTTACAGATCTCTTGGAGATCCTCAGATGAAACGCCCAATGTGCTGAGTATTCTCATGATTAACAATGACAAAATTAAAAAATCCAGGAGACTCTTTCAAAACTTGGGCATGACTCACCTTGTTGCTTGGGTTTGATCTTGGTGAAGTGTTTCCCTTTGTAGGACCTTTGAAATATTAAAAATCCAAACAAACAAGAATCTTGGGTGATTGGCCTTAGCTGTTTCTGTCTTGCACTCTTTTATTGAACCTTCTAGGTATAAATCTACTCTTTTTAAATCTCACCTGGAATTTGCAGGTTCTTTTGGTTCTGGTCAGCTAATTTCATGAATTGTCTTGTCCCATTAATAGGCTAGACTACAGTTGCAGTATATGATTTACATCTTTTGAGTTTTATGAAGCAGAAAAATATTAATTTCTTTGCACAAAATTACTATATCACTAATAAATTAGACAGTCTCTCATTTCTGATCACGTATTTCTGAGGCGGTGATAATGCACAAAAGGTTTTTTGAGAGGGGATAAAAATACGGAAGAGTAGCCACATATAGAAAAAGCAAAGGCATAGGGTTAGGTGGACAATAGTGTGTTGCAGGAGCACAAATAAACATGTCACGCTGTATAATAGTTTCACCCATGTGGGCCAATTCAAGTAGCCACGTATGTTCTAATAAACATTCAGTCTTGCGTGAACTAATTTTGCTTAGCAGTAGATGCTTAAAAGTATGTTGGTGAAATGACAGGAAAATGTACTTGATCAGCTAAATCAAGGTTTCTAGTTCAGGAAAGAGAATATTGGTCATGGTGTAAACTGGAAAATGGATTCTGTGTAAGCTGGGGAAGTACACATTGGGATGTACAGAAGGACGCTCCTGGAGTCTAGGTGAAAGCTGAATTCCCCTTCACAAAGCTCTGTCTTATTAGAGTGCACTATAATGTATAAAATATTGATAACTTTTGAGAAAAAAATGTTCCTTTTTGGTCTGTTATCTGTGGTAAATGTGAATCTGTTGTTTGTTTGTTTATTCCAGGACATTTGAAATGGACCAAAGCAGAGGATATTGACATAGAAACACCAGGATCAATTCTAGTGAACACTAACCTGAGGGCTTTAATAAACAAACACACCTTTGCTTCCTTACCTCAGCATTTTCAACAATACCTCCTGCTTTTGCTTCCAGAAGTAGACAGGCAGGTGAGTAGAAACAAAACATTTGCTTCTTTACTAATAAGACTCTTGTTTTCTGAAGTAGTTACAAAGTCTGACTGATTCCACTCAAAATCATTGTGCAATGAAACTTGTAAAATAATTGTTTTTATTAGCTAATCTACATTAGCTAGTTTTAATTAACATTCACTTGTGTCCAGATCATGTCCTGCCTCCCTTCTTCCTCCATCTCATCATTGACCTCTCTGAAACCTAAGCCCCATTCCATCACAGCCTATCCAAAATGCAGCAGGTCAGATCATCTTCCCAACCTGTTGAATTCGTCTAGGAGCACTTCTTTGTCTTCTATAGAATGCAGCATGCTTAATCTTTAAATCTCTTACCACATCTCTTTTTTTTTTTTTTTTTTTTTTTTTTGTGCTTTGTTCCTATATCAGCCTCTGCTCTTTGCCAAGCACATCAGCCTCAATGCTAAATTTATTACCTTCTCCTCACTCCTTTGTCCATTCCTTCTTCCACACTTCAGCATATTTTGGAACAAATTCTCAGTTCCAGTGCACAAGGTCCCCAGTCTCTAATCTCATTCAGCTCTCTATTAGAAGACTTACTACTTGCACGAGCCCCACCATTGCTTTAGAGTCTAGCTATACACCCATTCCACTGGAGATAATGGGTGAGCACGGGAGGAGAAGAGAAATTTTTCAGGTTATTAGTTCAGGTTTCCCAATGTGTGTTGTCCTCTCTGTCTCTCCTTTAGACTAGAGGACCTACAGGATGCTTGGGCAGGCGAGTCTCACTGTGTCTTTTCCAGCATATTGTTAGTACAGTAAAACTCCAGTGGTCTGGCATCCAGTGGTCCGGCACTCCTGATGATACGGCACCATCTGGAACCCGGAAGTGCTCCGGGCAGCCTGACAATTGGAGCTGCTTTGCCCCTGGCTTCCCCGATTCAGCCGCTGCTGAAACTGACCAGAGGCTGACTTGGGGACGCCCGGGGGCGAGGAGCGCACTTCCGGGTTCCAGATGCCGGGTTGGTTCCGCAGCGCCGAGGGGTGCATCCCCCCCAATCTACCCCAGACCGCTCATAGCCCCCCCTTCCAGTAGTCCGGTATATCTGATAATCTGGCACCCCCTGGGTCCTAAAGGTGCCGGATTATCGGAAGTTTCCTGTAATTAGAAAAATGATAATTTAGGCTCGAGATTAGCTAGGTACTTGAACACTTGTCTAATTTAAGCACATGCATAAGCTCATTTAATTCAGAGATTTAAATTTAATTGCAGGCATTCCCCAGGTTGCAAACATCTTACTTAACGAACGTCCATACATACTAACAAAGCTCCCTAACATATTACTATTTTAATAATTCAAGTATACAAATGCCAACCCACATGCATGAACAAGTCATTGCTTTTGGGAAGTACTTGCATCAATGTACTGTTACTATGTACATACTTGCTACTTAGTTGCCTGTTTGCTGCCTTCTGAGTGGAAAGCAGCGTGCTTTCGTTCTATTTGTGAGCCCAAAAAACAACCCCTAATCGTGGCTGATAAGTGGATGAGTTGTGACAGCCTGTATCAAGGAAAGCCATAAGTTTTGAAGTGAAATTAAACATTGTTTTCAGTTTTATTTCATAGCTAGTATTGCATCAGTATTGTTTTCTATTTTTCATTAGAAATATACTGTATTTCAGTTACATTATGGGTTAAATAGGCTTTTGAGGGCTTGCCTGAGAACCTAACCAATACTTATAACATTGGGGAAAATGTGTTCCAAGTTCCAAAAAACTGACTTACAGGTGAACTTTTGGAACACAATTCATAAGTTGGGGACTTCCTGTACATGTTTAAGTGCTTTACTGAATCAGGGCCTTATGTTGTATGCAAATAATCAGTGAATTCTATTTCCTCTCTGTTCAGTTCACAAAGGATTTGAGTCTGTTACTGCCCCAGATACAGAGTGTGACTCTTAGGTCAAACTGTTGTGACTCCTGGCTTCAGCTCTTGAAGTCTTTGTATCGTGCATCAGTTTTTGTCAAGATGTCAGATGCCACAAAAAGCAGTGAAATATTAGACCATAATATAGAGAGAACAATATAAGTATTGATGTAGTTTCACTCAGCATCTTAACAAATTATGTGCTGTATTTTAAGGACTCTTCCAACTATGTGGTTTGTCAGCAGGGAGTATTTGAAGTGGAACATTAAAAGCCAGATCCACATCAGAAGTATTATTTTTTCTCATACTTCTCAGATGCACTTAAAATTAGTATCAACAAAATTAAAAAGGACAGTTTTTCATCAGGCAGAAAAACAGACCTAGGTTTAAATTTGCAACACAGTTAAAATTGATAATTTTCAGTTACCTAATAGCCTTCAGTTAGTGATTCAGAAGAAATAAGATTGTCTATATGTGATTCTGTTTCCTATGCAATCCAGTCAGAGCTAAACATTCACTCTTCAATTTGTAAAACTACTGGCATTATTTAGAAGCCTCCTAACATGAAGTTGATAAAAAGATAAGAACCACAGTACTGATTTACTGCCCTGCCTTCATTTAAAATGATGTATTCAATAAAAACTGTGCATATGCTCAGTACCATGGGAAATTTGTTTTTTTGAGTTTTGCATGGCTTTTGGAATGAAAAATGAAAATGTTGATTTAGGTCCTCAATTACTAAGAATTTTTTTCAAAAACACTTCCTTTTTATTTTTAATACTTTTTGATATAATACATAAGAGTGCAGTAGACACAGTACCACAAAACTAAACATGACTCTTTCATGGCCAAGAAAAGTAGTTACTAAAAGAATACACCATTTGCCTCAGACTTTTGCAGCAATATTTGTATCTTTATTCTCCTATTTTCCCTGTGCCTCTCTCTGTCTTTCATGTGTCCAAACAGAAACCTATGCTCTCTCTTTCCCCCCCCTCCAAGGCATTTATAAAGCAGGGGCGGGGGCACATGTCTGGGAATAATTGACAGGTTTGGCAGCTTAAAAAATGATCATTTCAGGGTTTCTTGTCTCTTAGAGAATGCAAGTTCTGGAAGCCCATCCCTGACCTTTATTTTACAGATGTTCTTATAACGTCAAATGTGGGAATTTGCTGATGTGACATCTGAAAAGGTGCCCCATAAGGCATCCTCCTGACTGCAACCACAGTGGGCTGATCAAAGTAACACCACTCACATCTGCCTCTTCAGAATGAATCCTGGACATTGATACAGCTGTCAGGGAGGCAGGCAGCCACACGCAGGAAGGACCTGTTGGGTTTCTGGTTTCCTAGTCTCTCTCTGTCTCTGTCTGTCTCTCTCTCTCTCTCTCTCTCTCTCTCTCTCTCTGAGGCAGGCTGGTCTTCTCTTAGCAGGCTCTTTTCTGCCCCCTGTACCAGCATGACTTTTTAAGCTGAGGTCTCCCTGTGTTTGCACAGACCCTATTATTGTCTCGGTCCCTACCAACTCCAGAGCAAGGAAAGGTAGATCTGTATTGCAAACTGAAGGGGTATATGTATAGCCATTACACTTCGACTGGTAGTGTGTGATCACAGCTTACCCCTGCAGCTCGAAGTGTGGACATACTCGGTGAATACCAGAAAGGTATTCCCTTATCCCACCTTCCCCATGGTAGAGAGGGGCCCAGACAGACATAGTCTGAGTGTGTTCATGAGTCATTGCTTGAGAGGACCACCTGCCACCTGAAGCAGAAAATCTAGAATGGCCCGATCTGTCTTTACAAGGGAAGTGGGAAATTGGAGCACTGGCAGCCGCTTGAGCAGTATTTCTTGCTGCCCTCGTGCCTCCTATACACCTGATCTCACCAGTCCCTCCTGACAGCTTTGTTATTTGGGGATAGGAGATTTACTTCCCAGTGACCACTCCAGCCAAGCAGATGCCTGCCCATTCATTGCCCATTTCTGGGGTCACCTGTATACTACTTTGCTTATGTTGGAGAAATCCAGACTTCACAGATTTTTTTTTTTCCTCAACTTTTTATCGAATAATTTCTGTTTGCAGTTACACTCCAAAACATTTTTTCTCTTCCCATATTACTGTGCAATCAGTGGTTGGCTGGTGTTCTCCCCAGAGATATCTGCATTTCAGCAGTACTATATGGATATACTACATCAGTGGTTCCTTATCGCTGGTCCGCGGACCAGTGCCAGGCCGTGAACTGCTGGCTGCTGGGCCACAGCATGCTGCCAAGCCATGCCCATGCCTTGGTTATTGGCTCAGCTGTACTCTGGAGCAAGGCCCAGTCTGCCCAGAAACCCCCTTCTCTTCTCCCCGGGATTGTCTCTTCTCCCTGTGCCCAGTGCTGTGTTGGCTTCTCTCCGTGATGCTGCCTTGATGTAGAGGATGCTGCCTGAGCCCAGAGTGTGCAGGGTGGGGGGAGCCAGCTTGGAAAGGGGGCTGAAGAGAGGTGGGGGCAGATAAGAGGGGTAATGTGGAACAGGGATATGTGATGCAGGAGGGGGATGCAGGAGGCAGTGAAGGGAGGTTGGGGGATTCAGGGGAAATGTATGGGGTGAATGGGACTAGGGGTGCAATGGAGGAAAGGTCTGAGACGGAGTCACAGGAAGGGAAAAGGGGGGTGCAGGGGAAGAGAGGCTTGGGGAAGACGGGGGGAGCAAGAGCAGCCTGGCTGGAGAAGGAAGAGACACAGGGAAGGGGTTGTACAGAAGAAGACAGGGAAGATACAATGGCAGCTCCCCCACCCCATGGGGCAGGAGATGGGGAGGGCAGAGGTGACTGGTGGTAGCACTTGGGGGCACCAGCTTCTATGCCCCTGACAAAATTTCAGTTGCTAAATAGAGTGCCCCACTTGTCCCCTGCCGCTGCAGGTGCCCCTCCCTGCACCCCTCCCTCTGCAGACAACACTCACCCCTGTGGGAGGGGCTGCCCCACCCAGCAGCTAGAGGGGAATTCTTTCTGTGAATTTTTTTTAGTGTTGTAGATATCTGCAAACTCTGCTCCATTACAACAACACATATTGTACGCATTCAAATGTGATGTAAAATAACGACCTCTT